CCCTCGGTAACTTTTTGCGTGAACAATATAGTAACTCACACATCGCACACCTGATGACTTATGTACCCCAGTCCTGATAGCTTTGGCATGAGGAGGGTGGGGGGGCCGGTAACATTTCTGTGAATAGCATGATAACCCACACGTTTGCAGACATGATAAGTTATTTACCCCGGTCCCGGTAACTTTGGCGAGGGGGTTGATTAAATGTACCCACGGTAACTTTCATGTTAATAACACGGTAACTCATGCCTCGCAGACCTGATAACTTGTATACCCTGGTCCTGATAACTTTGGGGACCGGGGTGGGGGACGGAGGGACATCATGAAATATACCCCCGGTAACTTTCATTGATGAAGTGAATTTTTTTCCAGAAAAATAGCTTTCTTTTTTCTTACGATAGTAGTAAGAAAGAGTTTAAAACAATTTCGTTGTTGAACTAATGAACAACAAACTAGGTTGGCGTGATGGTTGTTGGGCTTTGTACTTGGGCCTATCCTTCCCACCCCGACGCAGGTTCGAATCCTGTGTAGGTAATTTTTTTTCGCGTTTTTAATTATGGTGCAATAAATCGATCGGGAGGAGCACGGGAATAGCGGGTGGAGCATTGTTTCCCCTGTTGAGGGGATCGTGCGGATCTGTCGCTAACGACCAGTCGACTGGTCGTTAGCACAGTCCATAATAATAATAATGATGATGATAATGATGATGATGATGATGATGATGATGATGATGATGATGATAATAATAATAATAATAATAATAATAATAATAATAATAATAATAATAATAATAATAATAATAATAATAATAATAGAGAACAAACTTTGCTCGTCGCTAGTAGGCAACCCAGTAGCGCAATGCAAGAGACGTGACAGAACTACGTCTTGCTGCAGGCAAGAAATAGCCATGGGAGAAGATTTCATTGCTTGGGCTCCGGAAAAGTCAGGCTCGTTTACTGTAAAAAGTGCATATCGGCTTGCTGCAGATGAACAACAGAACACACTGATTGCTTCGACTAGCTCTTGGTCTGATGGTTCACGCGATGGGTGGAATGCAGTCCGGTCTAGCCCTGCCCCGCCCAAAGTTCTGAACTTTGCTTGGCGTTTGACCACTAATTGTTTTACCCACATGGTGCAACAAACAAGAAAGAAACTTGGAAGTGGTTGCAACTTGTCCCGTTTGTGGCTGCGCTGATGATGACACATTCCATGCATTCTGTTCTTGTATTAATGCTCGACGACTTTGGCATGTTATGGCAGTTGTTTGGGACCTCCTTGAGATTTCTTCGATCCTTCCTTCTGGTGAGGAACGGTTCATTCAACTGGCTGCCAGTCTCGAGGAGTCTATGAGGGTCAGGCTAATGATGTTGCTATGGCGCATCTAGTATGTCCGCAACGAAATAATCCATGCAAAACCAGCACCACTCGTGGAAGTCTCATGTAGATTCTTAGCTAGCTATCTTGAATCTCTTCAATCCATTTCCATTGACCCAAATGTGAAAATGCATATAGGAAAGACTCCCGTCTCAACTTGTTACCCACTCATGGTTGATACATGCAATAACAACACCCCTTTTGGTAACCCATGGTCTCCCCCACCGGCTGGGCATGATAAACTTAACACCGATGGGTCGGTCGTAAATGGAATTGCCGGAGCAGGTATGATTCTCAAAGCTCATGATGGGAGCATTATTTTCAGCTCATGTCGGCATCTATTCTATTGTGATGATGTTCTAGAGACGGAGATGTTGGCAATAAAGGAAGGCCTAATGTTGGCCTCCCAATGGAGCAATCTACCTATCCAAGTTGAATCTGATTGTCTGGAAGCCATAACGATGGTCCAGAGTGCTGTTACGAATAGGTCTAAATTTGCTTTCTTAGTCAAAGAGATCAAGGATAATCTAGAGGAACATGGTTCTTGTATTACTCATATTCGACGTAGTCAAAATCTAGCTAGTCATTTTATGGCCAACTTTGGTAGGGTTCAAGTTCGTACTGTGGTATGGCTTGGGTCAGGACCCGGAGAAGTCCTTGATATTGTACGTCGTGATTGTAATTATGAGTTTTGAGTAATACACGAATTTTTCGCAAAAAAAAAACCACCACTATATATCTATATCTACACCAATATAAAAAGAGCGAGTTGCGGAGATCCAATAAATCTCACATGTTGGTGGGTCTACGTTGCTTCAGTATTTACTGTTAAACATGCTTGTCAATAAACACATTTAGCACCCTCCACTAATTATTATCATGCCTAATATCTACTCCCTCCGTCATACCGTATAATATAAGAGCATTTTTTTTACACTATGCTAGTTAAAAAACACTCTTATATTATAAAACAAAGGGAGTATGTTAGTATTAATCAAGTAATTATATCCTACCTAATATTAACATGTATACATCTCGTCTGATGTTAATGTGCAATACAATTTATATTTGGCCAATATTAACGCAGATTGCACGTACACAATTAACAATCAAGAATCAACAAAGTTCCTCGCTTCTGGTGTTCCTTTTATTGTCATGACGGATGTTGAATAGATTTCTTTCGCAACAAAAAAAGATAGCCAAAACTTAGAGGCGCGCAACAACAGAATTCAGGACCTTTGTTTCTCATGTGAACTAACTTGGATATGATACAACAAAACAAACAAACAAAACAGAAAGCCAGACTGGACGCGCGTGATCATCCTCTACACAATTCCATTTCCGTTCTGGCTTGGGCTATCCTTTGCCTTTACTCCTGGTCTTGCTTCTACGCAACGGAAAGCTCACACCAAAAAATGATGAAGGCACGTGTTACGCACCCCGCTACGACCACATCCTGATCCTAGTAGCCTCCAAAGGACGGATCTGAAAAACTAGCAAACACGAGAGGACGCTTCTGTAAAATCTGTTAGAAAATGGTAAAGTACACATTCATTCATCAGAATTACTTATCCAGAGCAGCCACATTTCCTGCACCACTCACTCACTGACCCACCAACCAGAGCCAGAACCTTCCCTTCCCACCCAGAACCCTCCGCACGCCACTTTTACCCCACTCACCTTCACCCACGCCCACACCACTGGGCACAGCGGGCCCTCGGCCCCACGCGTCAGCGCGCGCCGTCCCGGCCGCCTTAACTTCGGCGTTACTCACGTCGGACTACCGCTTTTAGCACCCCACCCGAACGGCAATCCTAGATCTAGCTACTCCGCGCGCAGCCGCACAGCCACACAGCCACACCGACCGGGACACCCTCTACCCCCGATGACACGCGGGCCCGGGGCGAAGCGGGTCCCTTTCACCACGGACTAGAGGGAGAAGAATTCCACGGGCGGGAGAAAATCCGGATCCACAGCGCACGTCCCGAGCACGAGGCACGGGCTCGTCAACACCCGACTCCGTCCACTCCGCCCCGAGTTTCCGAATTCCAAATTCCCACACCACTCCTCCCTCCTTCCTCCTCCCGTTCCGCGCCTGCACCGCGCCTCGATGGATGCCGCCCAAAACCCTAGCCTGAACTGAACCCTCCTCGAGACGCGGCCATGGCGGAGCCGGCCCTCCTCGACCCCTCCTCCCACTTCGACCTCCGCCACTACCCGGCCGGCCTCTTCGACCCGGACCTGCACCTCGCGGACGACGACGACGACCTGCCGCTCGGGAATTTCGGCCTCGGCGCCGGCGGCGTTGGCGACTGCGACGACCTCGACTTCGACCTGCCCGCGGATTTCTCCGTCGAGGACTTCCTCCTCCGCTCCCCCGAGCGGAGCGACTCCGCCGCCGGATCCGGCCCCACCGCCTCCTCGTCCTCCCCCTCCCCCGCCGCCTCCGGAACCGGCTCCGCCGTCGCCGACGCCAGCTGCGAGGTCAAGCACGAGGAGTCGGACGAGGGGAGGAGCGCCGCCGCCCCTAACTGGGGCCTGAAGCGGAAGCCGGCGAGCCCCGCCCCCAGCTCGGAGGCGGCCAAGTGCCGCCGATCCGGGGACGGCGAGGTTTCCCCTTCCGCGTCGGCCTCGCGGGCCGCCGTGGACTCCGACGAGGGGGGCGCCGTCGGCGAGGGGGAGGACACCAGGCGGGCGGCGCGGCTGATACGGAACCGCGAGAGCGCGCAGCTGTCCCGGCAGAGGAAGAAGCGCTACGTCGAGGAGCTGGAGGAGAAGGTCAAGTCAATGAACTCGGTCATAAACGACCTCAATTCCAAGATCTCCTTCATCGTGGCCGAGAATGCAACACTGCGGCAGCAACTCGGCAGCGGCGGCGGGAATTGCCCACCTCCTGGGATGTATCCACCGGGAGCAATGCCCGGCATGCATTTCCCTTGGGTGCCCGGGTATGCCATGCGGCCTCATGGTTCCCATGTCCCTCTTGTACCAATTCCTCGGCTAAAGCCGCAGCAGCAGGTGACCGCAACCAAGGCCACAAAGAAACCAGAGAACAAGAAGGCCGTGGACAGCAAGAGTAAATCCAAGACCAAGACCAAGAAGGTGGCAAGTGTTAGCCTTCTCGGTTTGATGCTTGTTATGCTCGTATTTGGCGCTTTTGTTCCAGGGTTCAATCACAACTTTGGATTGAGTGGGGGAAGTGACAATGCAATGTTTAGGAATTTTGGTCAGCCTCATGATAGGGTAGTGAATGTCAATAACCATGGTCAAGCACCTAAAGGGGGTTTGAACAATAGTGACATGACTGGTGTTGATTCTGGAATGATGATTGGGACTGATGGCAGTGCTGACCAGAAGCATCAACCTCCACTTAACTCAAGTGAGACCTTGCCTGCTTTGTTGTATGTGCCAAGGAATGGAAAGCATGTCAAGATCAATGGCAATCTGATTATTCATTCTGTGCTTGCAAGCGAGAAAGCGGTAGCACATGGGACTTCACAACACAACCGTGACCAGTCAGGTATAGATCACAAAGAGACTAGTACAGCCATAGCTCGTCATCTATCACTGCCTGGAAACAATATGAATCCACAAGAGAAATCCCCAGTAGATGGACCATTGCCGCAGTGGTTCCGTGAAGGAATGGCAGGTAAGCAGAACAATTGTTTGTCAATCTAGTATTCTTGTTTTTTTGTGAATTGTGATACTGCAGCTATGAATTCCATTTATTATCCAAACTATTATTTCTCTGTTGCATTGACACATCATGATGTGATATTTTAATCAAGAAGGTTCCCACATTATCTTACTTCAAGAGTGACCAAATGCTACAGAGAATAATATTACCAAGTTAAAATAGAAGTCAAGGGATTGAACTGATTGTCCATGAGTCATTAACAGCCTGTTTGGATGGTGTCCACATGAAATTTTGCCTGGCCTGAAGCCTGCCTGAAAGGTGCCTGGGGAGTGTTTGGTTACTGTCCTGAGAAAGTAGCAGCTAGCCTGGCCTGGTGGCCTCACAATTTGCTTAGCCTGGAGTGCGACCCAGGCATATTGCTTAGCCTGGGAGAAGCGTTCAAAAAAGGACACCTGGGTAGCTGCCTGGTGGTAATGAGCTGCTATTTCCAACTCTTTTTGTAGTTACAGGCCTTCAATGATGGTACTATATTATTTTAACACTACCCCAGGCCAGGACAGCAACAAAACACATGTATGCCAGGCCAGCCTCACCAGGCACAAAACAATGAAGTACCAGGCTCAAACCAGGCAACCTCTTTTCCCAGGCATGAAGCCCAGGCCACTATAACCAAACAGGACGTAAGAAAAGTAGAATGTATGTTAGATAAGAATAACGTCACTCAATTATTCAGTAAATGGGAACTCAAATCTATATTTAATGTTGCAAACAAGTAAATCTCACACTTTAACCATCCAGCAATGGGAACAATGTCTTTATTTATGTCCTCCTTTTAGCAATCACGTAGAGAAGAGCTCAGTAAATAGTAGTGATGTTATTACTTTTTATTTGTAAAAGTACTTAAAAGGATTGTCCATGAGTCATTAAGAGAAGAGCTAGAATGCATGTTTGACCAGAATAATGTCACTTAGTATGCCATCATATATTATGACATTGCATAATGTCACTTAGTATGCCATCATATATTATGACATTGCAACTATTCAGGAAATGAGAACTCAACTCTATATTTAATGTTGCCAAACAAGTAAATATCACACTTTTAGCAATCACATAGAAAAGACCTCAGTAAATATTAGGGATATTGTTGCTTTTTATTTGGGAACTGTCGTATACAGCAATTATCATGTAGACTCTGCCCTGAAGAGCCTTTTAATCCCTGACCAAAACTTATCTGTCAGTACAACCTATGTTCAAACTCTATGCTAGCAAAATAGTAGATTCATGATATGTTGCTTTAAGCATATTTTCAAACTTGTGACCGAGCAATGTTACTGATTTTTCACAATTGCAATATTTTCTTTTCATGGAGAAGTGATAACTGCTAAATCTTCACTAGCTTGTAGGAAAACTAGTCTGAACTCACGTGCCTAATGTTTTGGTGTTGTTGTCAAGTTTGTTATTGGAATATCATTCTTTGGTTTTGTTGATGAAGTCATCTCCTACAGAAAACTCAGTTTTCTTTCGACACTCTTGGAGGGATATTGCACTGTCTCTTACTCTAATTCTGATGCAACAATTTTCAGGGCCTATCCTAAATTCTGGAATGTGCAGCGAGGTATTTCAGTTTGACGTTTCCGCTGCCACCAATTCCGGTGGCATAATACCTGCTTCTCCAGCTGTCAACTCCTCAAGTGTTAATGCTACTCGAAAGGTTCCAACACCAGCTCCTGCGTATTACGGCAAGCTGAAGAATAGGAGGATCATGTACAATGAGGCGATTCCACTCACTGGGAAAACGGCGAACAACACAGGGCCTTTTAACAGAACTTCTGAAAGCAGCAAGTTACCTGATAAGAAGCCAGCATCGTCGGTAGTTGTTTCTGTGCTAGCTGATCCCAGGGAGGCCGGTGACGGCGACAGCGATCCAAGGATGACTCCCAAGTCCATCTCCAGGATATTTGTTGTTGTTCTCCTTGACGGTGTTAGATATGTCACATACTCCTGCACCCTTCCTTTCAAGAGTGCCAGCCCTCATCTTGTAAACTAACCAATAATCATGGGGGTCAATGCGTCGTCATGGTTCTCAAGCAGCTTTGTTGGCCCCGACGAATCTGATGGCCGGTAGATTAAAACGACCTGATGCTGTTGTCTAACCAAGGAATGAACTTTCTATTCACTCGGCCTGAGGTAATTCAAGTTTGTCGAAGGTTTGAAGTGGTGTGAGCTAAATGTGGTTCTGCAGGTTTAGGCTATGAGTGCAGCTTTTGTGCTGCTGTAATATAACCAGGATCTTATGCTGTACTCTAACCTTGTTGTTATAATGTAATACTGTTTGAGGAACTTTTAAGACAAAATATACATGTAGTTTTATCATTCCTGAACATATATAGTTGCGACAAACTAGTTCATGCGTCGTCTATGGCAAATCGACCTCTGGTTGACGGAAACTATTTCAATCTGGATAAACTTATCAGGTGCACATTTCAAATGAAATACTTCGATAAGCATAATACAGAAAATGTAACGATCTCTGCAACCAGCTTGCTAACGAACATTGGCTTCCAGGCAAAACATCAGTTCAGTTCTGTCCAGAACTTCAGTCATCCCTGCATCCTTCGCATTTTTATTTCTCGACAAATTCCTGAATTCGCACAACCTATAAGCGCAGCCGATATAGAGTTTGAATTTTACAAAAAAAGAAGACGTTGCACATGAAAATCCATCAAACAAAACGGATTTGCAGTCTCTTATAAAATGGCCCCTGTATAAACCAGGCTAAAACCCACGTTATCCGCAGGGCCAGAAACCCCCTTCCATCTCCAGCCCCATCCGCCATGGCGCTTCACACTGTCTCGGGCATCAAGCTCCCACCCTTCTCCCTCCCGCTTCCCCACCGCCACCTGGGCGCCAGCCCCAGCGGCGGCGGCATCAGCAGCGGCCTCTACGCGAGCAGCGCATTCCCGCGACGCCGATGCGGCACGCTCGCCGCCGTCGTGCGCTGCGCGAGGCGCACGGGCAAGCGGCGGTACCCGTCGGAGAAGAAGCGCCTGGATCGGCGCCACAAGGAGCAGCTCCGCCAGACCGCCCCCGAGGAGGGCGGCGTGGCCCGGGAGGCTGGCTTCTGGCGCCTCTCCAAGCTCGCCGTCCCCGCCAGCGACGACCCCGGCAAGGACTTCCTCGGCGTCTCCCCGCCGCTCCTCCAGGCCATTGCCAAGGCCCTCAAGTTCCCGGTACGCTAACGTATTGCATTTTCTGATATGGGGACATAATGCCATGAAATTCGCGAGGCTTTAGCATTTTGTTAGATGAGTCGACGTGGGGTTGCTGAAACAGATGTTTTAGGTGGCCTTTGCTAGTGTAGCGATTTTTTTTTTACTTAGTTCGTGCCATTTAATTGACTATATTTGTGCTCATTCGTCTTGGAAAATTATCACAGCCTTGAGATGAGCTAGCCACTCGTAACCTCCTTCAAGGAAGTCTAGTGCAGCTTGCTGTGGTGATATGGTAAATAGGAATCAAGTGTAAATGTTACTTCTGTGTTGTGGAATAGGCCTGGTTTGATAAACGGTTTGCAACTGAATTAACAGAGCTTCTGCCTCACCTTCTCCTACATATATTGGGTTATTTCCCCAAATCCCAACCGTATTTAATCAATCAGGAAATGGCTGGATGAGTGTTTGCAACCGTATCCCAACCGTATCTAATCAACCCCCTTCAAATGTTGCGCTACATGATATTTCCTGCTATACCTTCGACATGCGTTTGCTTTGAAGTTCGATCCCACTGTGGTTTACATTTGTTGTTATCCATGTTACAACGTCTCTTGTTGTAATTGCCGCCGGCTTGCTGTTATTGCAGTTTTTTCATATCCTTGTTAGATCTTCTCTATAATTATTATTATGCGCCTCTAATCGACTCTCCTGCGCAGGTCGCTTCTATGCTCCCTGAAGAGGCCTTCTCTGTTATCCGCAAGTCATTTGATGCACGCAAGGTTCTTAATGAACTTATATAATGTGTCTATCCTATTTAATATTGCTCCTCCTGTATATATATGGGATGACTATTTAGTTGTCATAAAACACTTGCTGTTGGATGTGCTGAAACGATGCAGTCAAACTGGGTTAAGCTTTGTGAAAAAAATACTCATGCAGTTGAAATGAAAGCCAATGTAGTAAGCTCGTTTACTTCTCCAGTTAATTTACCATCTTTTTGTTGACGACTCCACATATGCCATGAAAATAATCTTTATCTGCATGCCAGGCTGCGAACATTTATATGCATACCCACACTGACAATTTTGTGGGGGTGCCAGAATTAATCATATGGTGTCGATTTTTTGTCATGTTGCAGAATAGTACATAATATCTTGTTCAGATTCTGGTTTTCCTCTTGCTTTTGTACCATCTTTTGTTTCCCTTGCTTGGTTAGTATCTTGTTCCAGCGAGTGCAATCTAACGCCACGCGTCACACTGCTAGACACATTTTATATCTCCTTAGAATGAAGTAATTTCTCATTTTTAATTCTACATTAGCTGCGGAAATTACCAAATCTTGTAAATATTTTCACATAATACCAGGTTATTCTAGCCAAAGTTGCGTTGTCTATCAGGGTTACTTTCTGACCCGTGTGCCTACTTCTCTGGTCCATAGAAGGTACCACACTGTACGAGCAGCCCTTAGTCGAGTCTGGGAACAAATCACATAGATATCTTTGTAACTGTTTGATTCTCCGTTCATTGTGTCACTTGCCTTGATGATTATACTCGGGCCAAGACTGCTTGTACGCATTGATGCCACCTATCTCCATCTTGGTGCTTGTGAGTGGGCCTGAGGTGTCATCTAGCGGGTAGGGTAAAATCTAAGCCCGTCATAGAGCGCCGCATTTTTGCAAAATAATCTGGTATTGTCTGCAGAGATTTGCAATGCCCTGTAATTTGCGCAAATAGCATAGATTTAGCAAGAAAAAAAATGGTCAGTTTACTATCTATTTATGCTGTCTGATACTTGGTGTACACTTATTTGATCTGGGGATTTTATACTAAAGTTATTTTCACAGTGTAGAATTGTAGATGTTCATATAAATTGAAATAATATGTGATTGATGTGAATTCTATTTATTGCAGCGATTGGTTATTCGTGTGGTTACCCAATCTAATTATATTCAATGATATCTGAAATTTATCGTAATATTTTTTGGTAGATGGTTCTGTGTTGCACGTTTTTTGCTTCATCCGTGTTGCGACTGTGACCACGTGTGTTTCTAGTGACGTTGAATTTTTTTAATCTATACTGTATTTCAATATTCAGATTGGTTATCACTTTATCTGAATTGTTTCTTTGTGAATGAATAAACCATGTTTTACATTTACAGATTTTGAAAGAACCTCAATTTGTTTATACTGTTGATGTGGATGCTAAGAAGCTTCTGGACATGGAGCCAAGGACATGGGATTTTATTGCTAGATTGGAACCCAGGCTTGGAATTGTAGAATATATGTCCGATGAGAGGGTAGCAACTGATCTGATCAGTATGCTTAATGTTCATAACAAAGTCTCCGATGATGAACATGGTACCAGGGATACTGTTAATAATGGCTCGATCAGTCCTACACGAATGAAACCAAGGGTGGCAATTGTAGGAAGTGGCCCATCTGGGTTGTTTGCTGCCCTTGTGTTAGCTGAACTTGGAGCAGAAGTTACCTTATTGGAGCGTGGCCAACCTGTTGAGCAAAGAGGGCGTGACATTGGTGCACTAGCAGTTAGACGAATTCTCCAATCAGAAAGCAACTTTTGCTTTGGCGAGGTATACTGTTTGTTCCTACTGTACTACCAAGGCATCACTGGACAATCACATAATTGCTTTGATCAGTATTCAAATAGGTAGTTGTTGACAACGTGAATTGTCTAATAGATGACTATATCTTTTCGTTAAACATAAACATTATCAGTCATGTCATTCTGCAAATACTAGTGATAGTTCTCTTTGTTCAGGTGATAAAATGGAATTGATGTAATATGTCAAATTATGCGTACATGTATCTTAGAAGAGGTGGTTTACGTCTGTGCTCTGTATGTGAAATAGCGGATACATGTTCCAATCAGGTATATTAGCTGGTGCATGGATTAGTGCATCCCAATAAATGCACTCTCCTAATTATATGACCTGTAAAGTGTACAGAGACATATTTTAGACATTAATAATGCATCTGCCATAATCTCAGATTTGCTTAAAATGAATGATGCAGAAAAAATGTGTAATAATCTTCACATTTTTTTACTGCAGCTAATTTAGTAATTCAAAACCTAACTTATGCATGCTTGTTCTGAACTCATGTTCTTCATTGTTTGAGGTCCGCTTTTCCATACATTTTTGTGAATTTTAAAATCAAATGATCTTTGCAAGTTGGGTTGATGGCATATGGGGCAATGCCTATTTTTTTGAAGTATCAATTACCTACAATGGAACTTCAATGATTGACCAAACCACTATTCCCTTGTTCCATGTTCCTTAAAAGATCAAGTCCATCAATTCTTGATCTTCTGTTCTTAATCATAGCAGGGTGGTGCAGGTACATGGAGTGACGGGAAGCTTGTGACCAGGATAGGGAAAAACACTGATGGTGTTCAGGCTGTAAGAATCTTCCTGCTCTACCTCAATGGATGCTTAGCTTGCAAATTAGAAATTCTTCTAAAAAAGGTTATCTGTAATTATTGATGCAATAATGCAAGCTTAGTATCTGTTGGCTACCAGAGTTCAAGACTCTGGTGGTAACCAGTAAGTTGCTCCCCATACTGGTCATGGATAGTATGGTAAATTTTTGCTGTTGTTTTGAATACATATCCATCAAAATAGGAAGAGCTTCTGCATAACATAATATCCTAGACTTTCCTAGTCCAAAACTGACCCTTTATATGTGTTTAAGCTATACCGTGGGGTCTTGGATTTCAGGTGATGAAAACATTTGTCCATTTTGGAGGCCCTCCAAACATTCTCATTGATGGGAGACCTCATTTGGGTACAGATAAACTTGTTCCTCTGTTGCGGAATTTCAGACACCACTTAAGAGAGTTGGGCGTGAGTTGAACAAAGCAGTCTTCATTGAAGCTTTGCTATTATTTTGTTGTGTAAGGTTTCATGCACCAATGTATTCTGTTTTATGTTTGATACAGGTTGCCATAAGATTTAATACCAGAGTAGATGACCTTATAGTGGAAGGCGGGCAGGTCAAAGGAGTTGTGGTTTCTGATTCAAATCTACAGCCAGGTTCTGTTGATCAGAAACTATCATTCGATGCAGTTGTGTTAGCAGTTGGGCACTCAGCTCGTGACACATACAGTATGCTTCTTAGGCATAATGTAGATATAACCCCCAAGAATTTTTCTGTAAGTTTTCTTATGCTGGTTAAGGCAGTTTCTACTTCACTTGTACTTGTCAATAATTTGATGGTCAGATAGCAGACAAGCCACAGCGTAGAATTTGAGACCATGTTTGGTTGGATATTAGGTTACATAAGAGGCACATTGGTCTTCAGACCAAACAAAAACAGATATATTAGATGGAGTTCGATTTCTTTGTCAATCAAATGCCTCGGGTTGAGAATATATGTACAAGCCACTGAGTAAATACTAGCATATCATTTAAATTTTTGCCATGTTATATAGATGCTTTCTATTTCAAGTTTTCAACAACATTGTCTTATCCTATTTCACTCTCCTTTACACCGTATGCATAGACAAAAGGTTCTTCTAATACAACGGGCAATTTGGTGCATGTTTGAGAAAAAGACATAAACAAAAGGCCAGTCAGGGCAAGACCACGGTAGCAACAATAGGGTGAAAGATGGGTGTGTTGGATAAAGGATATCAGCAGCTTGGGACACAATGTGGCTGGACCTTTTGGAGTTAATTGATTGCTCACAGAAATTGAAGAGTGCAGACAAAGGCAGGAGCAGGAGTTGGCACAAGAACAGGAGAAGGAGAGCTAGGAAGATGTCCAGGAAATATTAGTAGAAAACATATAGATTTAGTAAGTCATATGATATTATATCAGGACGTTGTATTATATTAGGAATTTAAGGTCCAAACTTGATGCCACATACCTCATAGTTAAATCAAGTAATAATACATACTTTTGTCCTCTATATACTATCTGTCACCCCCTTTAGTCCTTTCACGTCTTATCGATGATAGTTACTCCCTCCGTTCCAAAATATTTGCAGTTCTAAAACCATGCTAAGTATTTTGGAACGGAGGGAGTATTTAGTTAGAACCAGGTTCACAACAAGGTATTGGTAGAATAGTGCTTTTTAGTACATGAAGCAGCTAATCTAGGCATTTTAATCGGTTCTTTTTAATATTTAATCGGCCCAATGTAGGTCTTGGCTGTACGATTACTGCACCACTGACTGGCTGAACATCGCCTCCTTGTGGCATTATGTCTTTTGCCCATGTTATCTTTGCCAATTGCAAGGACTATTTTTTTTCATAATATGAAGGAAAGCTTGGTTTTTTTTCTTCTCTCCAGACCATGTGATAACATTGGTTATTCTTACAGGTTGGCTTAAGAATCGAACACCCCCAAGAACTGATAAACAACATCCAAGTAAGCCATATTTCATTTGTTCACACCAACGGTTTTCTGAATGATACTCGCCTAATGTTTAGCTTTATTTCAAGGTTGAGATTTAATTTCCAGTAATTTAACATTCTGTATTTCGTGAATTCCTAACTGGCGATTGTTAAAGGTGAAACTGAAACTAATAATCAAGGTTTAGGATGTTAATTACTATGGCATCATGTGGAACAATCCATTTGTAAACTCTGGAGAAGTACAGAAACTGCCAGTTTGCCGAAATACCCTCCAACCATCAAGTTTTATTATAGGAGTAGCAGCATGAACAGAAGCTGAAGAAGTTATGTTTTGGTTTTTAACTTATATTTATTTCCTTTGCAAATTGTGATAAGCATCCAGTTAACTATGCACTGATGAGATCTCACTTTTGAAAGCATGGACTGAGTTTGTCTTGCTGGGCTGTGTCCAAGGCTTTCATAGAGCTTTATGTATGGACCTATTAATCTTGTAGTAACTATGTCCTAACACTCACTTATTTACCGGCTTGATACAGCTACACCATGGATCTTTACTCCCATGAAAGTCAATTGGTGGCGGCAGTCTGTTGACTTTCATTACAGCACATGCTATATTTGGCACAAACGGTTAAGATGAGACCGGATATGGATATTTTGATTTTGCATGAACGGCAGAAAGATCTTACAGTATAGGTTTAAAATTCCATCTCAATGCATGGGTATTACGCTAGTATGGGTAGCAGCATACTGTATTTCAGTGTTGAAAATCAAAAGTACAGTGTTTTGACATAATGACATTGTATTCAAAGTTTCAAACAATCTGTGTGATATGTGTCATTGTCATCCTGTGCAGTATTCTGAATTGGCTGCTGAAGTACATAAAGGGCGTGGGCGGATACCTGTAGCAGATTACAAGATAGTGAAGTCTATTGGTGAAGGAGATGTGAAGAATGATATAGAGCAAGTAGATCAAAATCGCAGCTGTTATTCGTTTTGCATGTGTCCTGGAGGACAGGTCAGTCATTTTCTTGTTGTTCAACTCACCTTTCTTTCCTCAATACATTATCGAGTATTGGAATCCTGTTCTTGAAATACCGAGAAATGTCTGCAGGTTGTTCTAACTAGCACAAACCCATTGGAATTGTGTGTCAATGGTATGTCATTCTCACGGCGAGCGTCTAAGTGGGCAAACTCAGCTCTTGTGGTCACTGTATCGTCTCATGATTTTGAACCATTTCAATCCCATGGTTCTCTTGCGGGCGTAGAGTTCCAGGTACTTGCTATGATTCCCTTAGATAACTGAAATGCTTAATAATTGCATTGCCATCACCATGAACAATTGGCTACATTGAACCTCTGGATTATGTGCCTTAAAATGACTTTATGATAAAGGTCTCAGCAGTACAAGATTGTCTAGAAGAAAACCACTTGATTGCAAAAGTACAAATAGTCTACTTGGACCTAATTGCTTTCTCAAGTGTTTGATTCCTTTACTTTTTCCAATATTAGCTGGTTTGCTGCACTTCTATTTTTCGAGAAACCGCAAAAGCCTTGCATCTTGATGCATTGATAGAAAGGAGAGTTTGAGCTCAGCAACATTTCTTTTTGCACCTGTACTACAGTCTGATGACAGTTTCCCCCTTCTGCTAGCTTATATGAGTTATCTGTAACTTTGAAAACAGAGAGAGTATGAAAGAAGAGCAGCTATGATGGGGGGAGGGAATTTTGTTGTCCCTGCACAGTGTGTCACAGATTTTATCAGTAACAAACTGTCAGGTACTAATTGTACACGGAAGTCTTGTCAGTTAGAGTAACGATACACATTTCCTTTTAGTTACTTTGTTACCTATTTCAGTTACAACTCTCCCACCATCAAGCTATAGGTTGGGGGTTCGTCCATCCAAACTCCATGAGTTATTCCCTCCTTACTTAACTGAAGCTTTGCAACAATCAATAATGATGATTGACAAAGAGGTTTGAACTACGATTTTGTTTCTTCATTTTGCAGTTTTGACTTTCCATCTGTCCTGACCCATTTGCAATCTGTTATTTCCAGATGCCAGGCTTTATTTCTAGTGAGGCCTTACTTCATGGTGTAGAGGTATGCAAATTCTTATGCGACAAGCTGAATGAATTTCCTTACTGATTTATTTGCTTAAAAATGGTGGTTCTTGATGAACTCCTACACGATGTATTTAAACATCAGAGAGTCTAGTGTTAGTCTTATGCCATCAACACCATAACCACTCGATGATAGCTGGTCAGTCTAATAGAAACATTCTTTTCTACTGGCCTGTGATCTGCAATTCTTTAACTCTCACTGTAACAGTTGTCTGCTGTTAGTTGCAGCCTGTGCCGGGTAATGCACTAGTACCTTGCTACTGGCAGGTGCGAGAACAGAATATTGGAGCATGCTCTGAATTATAATAGGAAATTCAGAGTTTAGGCCTGCAGTTGAGTTTAGGAAATGCTGAATCTAGTTGTACTTCCTGCAGAAGAGCCTGCAAAACCAGGGTATATTTGAAAATTGTTATCAAGTGATGTTAGCAAGGTGGCCTGTTGGTGCAGTGGGTTTCTGCAATTACACTTTAGCCTGTGACAGTGAGATCGGAACCTGTTGCGCAAAGACAACAGTGAATCGGGCTTTTCTTTGAAATGCCTCCTGTTCTGGTTAATTAAATTTGGGCCAAGGTTGAGCTGTAAATTCATTAGAGTAACGTTTATGGAACGAAAACAAAACATTTTAGTTTCTTTGGGCATGCCGAGCTAGGCTAAAAATCCCTAGGACATTAGAAATTTAGTTCACAAAATCGAGAATGCAGATCCTGAATGATACCCTGAAGAGGTGATTTTTTGCCTGTTTCCCTGAATGCTCATTTATATTCCACTTTAAAATGATCCCAATATACACTAGCCTAGATAGTGCGATTGTAACTAGTAGGCTTTTAGCTACTTGATTCTCTGTCCCTAGATTCTGTCTTACTACTTATTGGTAACGTGCACTTTCCCTCTGACTAAGCTGCATCACATTCCAGTCAACCTTCTCTGGCCACTTCGGTTGTCGTATTTGCATATACCCCTGATCTTTATTTCAAATTTTTGTCTTTATCCTTCACCCCCTTAGCATTTTCGTCTCAAATTATGTTCTAACCCGGTAATCTGTATAACTTCCAACTCCCATCGTTAACTTGATTTTAAATTTGGGAGCAACCCCTGCACTAAGAACAAATGCAAATCATTAAGCAGAGCTAATTCAGGCAATTGTTCATAGGGAACTGGTGAAAAATATCTGTCAACATCACGGAGAATGCTTTAGGTTTTCCTTAATATTCATTGACATGTGTAAATTATCTGCATGCTCTGCAGCGTGAAAAGGCGCAATGTCAATGTTGTATTCCACTGCATGGGTTCATTTATGTGCAGTCTTTCTTTTTGGCTGGACTGCTATATCTTTGGTGGTACAGTTATGTTTATCTCTGCATCCACCTTTCCCTTTTATTTATTATATTTGATGCCTGTTTCCAGACTAGAACGAGCTCCCCCTTGCAAATTTCACGACACAAGGAGACATACGAGAGCACGTCACTGCAAGGGCTATATCCAATTGGGGAAGGTGCTGGCTACGCAGGGGGCATAGTAAGTGCTGCTGTGGATGGTATGTATTGCGGTTTTGCTTTAGCGAAACAGCTTTCTCTGTTCGCTGGTGATATAGAGGCAATTTTCGGCAAAGCACAAAAGCAAACAGGTTCTGTAAAATATTGAGTTCTGACTCCTAGCTATTTGTTCACACTTCATAGGGCCTAGATTTAGATTGTTCAGACCGTCCCACCCCCCCTGCTAGACAATTTTGCCAGGGAGAAAACCGGGGAAGTGTACTCGTAAAGAAATTCGAGTCTGATGTAAAGATAACAGGGATGCTATAGGAGTTAACATTATGTATAACAAAGGCAACTTCTTAGCAAGGTAGCAGTTTCCAGTTGTTTCTGTCATGGTGCCAACTTAACATTGTGGAGATCACTACCTAAAGTAAATTACAACTATAATTTTTTGATTTTTTTTTGTTTGTTCTTCCGTTTCAAAGGAGAGAGATTTAGCCACATCATCTTCAGTTGTGCAAAAGCAAAACGATGTTACATTTCTCAAATTATTTGTGTGTTGCACATTTGCTATTAGACTTTACAATCACTGACCCCAGTTTTGCTCACAGTAATATTTACCCCAATTACTTAAAGTATATTTTTTGTGTGAAGTGGGAAACGGTATACACCTAATAGGTCACGGGAGACAATATGTTCCTTGCTTATACGGTTAGAGTTTCCTCGCCTGTACTATATGTTCCTTGTTGGTCCAAAATAAATTCTTATAGGGTTAGAGTAATTTAATAAATCATTTATGGCAGCAGAAGAGCGACGAGTGCTGAAGTGAAACTCCACTTGCTCTTTTCTGTTTGATGTTTGCAATCTGTGCCATCAAATCTCTAGTTTGCCCTGCAACATTGAGATCGTTGGAGTTGAAAAATGCCACTGCGAATAGACAGGGACTGCAAACAAATTCTTCATGATGCTATGACATGATATTTCATCGCAATGGACAAATTTTGTAAAGTCTGCTCACCTCGGACACCAAGTAACTGAAACCAACATCTCTCCCAAGTAGGCACCGAACCATGAGGCGATCCATGGATTCATGCATGATCCATCTGATCACAAAGAAGGCAACCAGCTGGCGACCGAGGAAGACCCCTTCTCTCTAATCGGTCTGCCGTCCATCATCGGTTCCGCAGCAGAAGCCATGCGAAGAATTTCTCCTTCGGAGGTGCAATGTTTCGCCAGAGGGATTTGGCGGTAGCCGGTGCACTCCTGGCCATAGAAGAACGCCCGGTAGGCAGAGATGGAGGAGTAGACACCGTTAGCTGAGGGCCGGCATGTGAATGCGTCCTCCTGATCACCGAGTAACTTAGCATTGCTCAATCATCTCCTTTTCTCTTTACGCATCTCAAACACACCACTATAGAGTTTCAGACAAGAAAATCCCGTGAGTTGATCCTGCTGTTCGTAATGCATGCATGGTCCATTGATCCTCATGTGCTGCATACACAGCAAGTGTTGCTGAGAAAGCGTGTCAACTTCGGTATTGGTTTCGTCACCTTGGCGGCCAACTGTATATCTTTAGATTACACGCACTGCTTGGATGGCTGACAGCTTGATTTTTACCAGCTAGTATAACGCAAACTAGCTGGTTGGTCATGCCATACTTCCCATATACAGTACCTATGACGGACGGGACCGTTATGGGTGATCATTAGCTAGCTAGCGCTGACTGCAGAAGCCAATTGCTTACGGGTCATCCACCGGTTCCACTTGGAACCGCATCTAATAATATTTGAGAGATTTGAGTGGCACAAACTGTGCTGTCACTGTAAACATCACTGTCGATCGTACCATTGCATCTTCCCTAGTGGCCAGATATTTCTTCGATCGGCCATTGCTCGATACTTTAGATTGCCTGTAGTACTTTCTATAGATTGCTTGTTTGATGGGTGAAGAGTGTGCCACTTGTGGCACTAGAAATGCTGCAGAAATAAATGTCTTTGCCGCCCCGCATCATTGGAAACCTAGTCTCAACCCGGATAAAGGCCAGCGAGCGTTCCTCTCAGTCGCCGGAAGTGCAGCGCATGATGCCTGCCGAGGACCAGGCGGCAGCGGCAAGTTGCAATAGTGTCCGTCTCCTTTTCGTTCGTTGCCAGAGAGGCTCCACAGGAGCGCACGAAGCCGACCTGCGCGCGCGGTGCTGCCGCCACTGCGCGTAGCTGTGGCCTGCTGAGCCGTCGACGTCGATCGTCCGTGTGCAACGCCCAACAGGTGCGTCTTGGCATTGCGTTCCCTGAGTGTGATCCGCAGGCATGCGCGCGCGGCGCTTGGAGTCTTACGACTGGCCGGGGATTGTTACGTTAGGTTTAAGGGCATGTACAATGGTTGATAAGATAGTCTTATCTTAAGTCTTGTATGTGATCTAGAGATGACAAAAAAAATTGTCTACAATAGGTTATCTCTTAGCCTTATCTTCAATAACTAGCAATTTCTAAAAATGTGGTGAGACATATTGTGCTAAGATATCACCTCTTGTCTTTTCTTAAATAAGATAAGACAAGTCTTTTCTTATGAGTTCTCTCTCCTCCACCTCATCATCTACCCTACGTGACACTACTAAGATAGCACCATTGTACATGCCCTAAGCAAGATATAGGTATTCCGCAGGCATTGGTGTAGAAAGTTGATGCGACTCTTGTCGTGTACAAAAGCCGGTAACAATGTGAAATGGGTGTGGCTAGATCTCAGTTGACTGGGACTTAATTAACAAAGTCTAAGTCAAGTGACATAACATGTAAAAAAAAGAAAATAAATTTTTTTGCACAGATGTTCACTTAAGGTCTCATGAAAATAGCATCGTCTGAGACTTGGTTAAGTCTCATCGACTGAGATTTAGCAATCCCAATATGAAATATGAATATTTTGATTAATTATATATAAAATAAAACATAATATTCATATTTTTTTGAGGGTAACACATATTATATATTGCATTTAATTATTGTATAGTTAAATATATATTGAATTTAAGTAGCATAATATAGTGAAAAGCTTTTTCCCATGCAAGTTTGTGGTGGGCTTTTGATGAGGTGGACATGTGTGCATATTGTGATAAATAAAATTAGTGAGATAAACTAATAATAATAGAAAACTTTTCTCCATGCATCTTGAGGTGGACCTTTGATGATGTGACATGTGCGCTGAGGTGGCATGTGTGTTATGATGAATAAAAATAGCAGGGATCAGCAACTTAGTTATATA